CATATATGTATATATATATATACACATCTATATGTATATATATATATACACATCAGAAATATACACATACAGAAATTTTTAATGAATATATTATGTGCATTATATGGAACTAAAATTTCGTTAACACTGTAAACAGGCAGGACTATCGATATTATATCGGTAAACTTTGAAACCAATTTGAAAATGGATATGAAGGTTACAAGATATTTATTGGAAGCATACACTTTGTGAAGATCACCAAAATATTTGAAGTCGGTTATTTACTATATTAATAAGCCACAATATTTTGTGCGACTACCTTTAGCACTAATTATATGTTTAAGACTACTATTTATGCCGCGTGCGTGTGTGTATATATATATATATATATAGTGAGAGACGATTATTGTAATGTAATATTGTAAATGTAATTTAAGAAATTCCCAAATTGTACGAGATATTTGTTAAAATATCATTTTAGTGTATCAGAAACCAAAGACGTAAGGGAAACAACGTCAGAAGGAATACCGATAACCCCTGCTATCGATAATTCTTCGTAATTCACTATTGTTCTTTCAAAACACGTGACCCTTTATAAAACTATCACTGTCCTAGCATCGTTTAAATTTAGCCCTTTTTACTTTTATTATTCCTTTCATCTCATTCAAAAGAATAGAGAAAACGTATTTTAATTACAGAAGAAATCATCAAGTACAAAATATTATAGTTAAATTGTTATTATTATTATAGTTAAATTATTATTATAGTTAAATATTATAGTTATATCAAATATATTTTGCAATGCATCTACCAAAAAAATTAAAATAGAATAAATTTCACAATAAAGGTATTTCGTTAAATAATATTTGTACACTTCAGACACATTTTTCATAATTTAAAATTTCCTCGTTTCTACGCCTATGTGCGAGAGGTCATTAACATGCACGTGTTTTCCTTCGGTTCTTTTTTTCACGAAATGAGTTCTAAAACAAGAGCAAATTAACAGAAAGGGTCTAGCGTCAATCGACAGTGATGAATAATACGTCTCTAGAAAATTTATAGCTCTTTCTCAAAATAAACATATTCACTTTTCATTGACCATTAGAGTTTAAAAATGAGCTTAAACATGTACCATAAGGTTATTCAAACTGAACTACCATCAACGAGAAAAGAGAGACAATTGTGCAATATAATTTACATAATTCTCATTGTTCCTAAATATCCTCTGCCTAGTACAAACCAATAATAACTATGTATATATGACGAAAATATGAATATCACTAAATGAAAGATTATCTTAATCTGATGATCAATAATCATTAAATTAGGTATATTTGTGCATTTAAGGGAAATTCAAATAAGTAAAAATACTTAGAACGCAATAAACTATACAAAACTATACAAAATAGCAAAAAATTACTAGAACATTGCTAAGTATAAGTGTCACAATACTTATAAATAAATTTCTATTTAGATTCTATTCTTTCAGTACACAAAAATACTTATCTGTTCAGCAGTTTAGTAGTTATTTAACATTTACAGACATAACAGGATAATAATAGAAAATAATAATAACAAGCTAGCGAACGACGTTTTACGAGTGTGAAAATTTTGAAATAAAGAGAGATGTATTGAAATAAATTAAACAGGGCAGGTAACATGGTTTCATCATCCAGAGAGAAACTAATCACGTGCTACAAGCAAATATCCTTAATACAAATAATGTATTTCTATCTCAACACCAACGGAAAATGCGGAAAGTAAGGAAAGGTTAAATGGAGACTGTACATCGATTGAAAGGTGCATCTTCGAAGGAAGAAGCATGTCAAACGATACATTTATGCGTTCATGTATAATTGCTTGCAAAATGAGGGGCAAGGGTTACGACTAATTATGAGAAAAACGAAATCATTATTTCTTGGTAATAATAGGGCCGACAAAAGGAATAAGATTCGTCTGCTAGTTTAGGTCGTGTCTTCTGCTAGTTTTTCTCTCGTAAAAGTTATGTGTGGCTCACATGACCCTGCAATACATAGATTCGCGCAATTCGCGCGTTACATAACACAGAAGGCCCGGCTTTTGACTGAAGCGGCATCGTTAAAAACGCACATTAAAACGGATAGAACATGGTAACCTGATCGAATCATTATATAACATGATCGGCCGTACCCTGCTTAACCATGAGAAATAAGAAAATTGATGGTCGCCGGTTCTAAAATCATGAGTATACTAACCAGTACTGGCTCCTTTCTCATTGCCATTGAGCAGAGGGATTTTCATACTCCCATTTTCCGTGGTGGTCTCTATTTGTGTGACCAATGTCATTTTTCTTTGATAATTTTTATCAAGCTTTCACACGACTTTAGAAACAGGCACGTGCTTATTATTCACAATAACACGCGCGCACACTTCGTTGAAATTATACCGTAAAAACGATGTCCGACTCTTTTCACAAGGCAGCACACTAACTCTGAGGCACACCGAGCCGCTTTTCTGTATTGCACGTGCGTTTCGAACGAAGTACAAAGTCTAATACACACGATTGGTTGCCTTGTCTAGCGGTTTATCGAATCACCTCCTCTGATTGGTGCTTCTCGTCACGTGATCCACCCCTCGACGTTCTTTGAACGGTTATTATTTGTCCTTGCCGGTGTATCAAACAGTATGGTTCCTTTTGAAGTTGGACGTTATTAGAACGTTCCTTCGTTGGTAGAAATTGGTAGAAATGAAATCGTTTTTTGGCACCTAACAAAACGGAATTAAAATTACTAGAAGTCGGATTGCTAACCTTATGTGACTACTCATTTGAATAAGAAATTGTCTGGACCTTATTTAAGAAAGGTATTACAGGAGTACAAAAACATATTGAAAAAAGAAAATTAATTGAAGAAATTAATAAGGGATTAATTTGTTATTTAGTAAATTCGTATCAAACTACAGGAAACTGTAAGGTTAGGTGTCTTGATAGAATGTCGGCAGAGGAATCTTCAAATTTGCGTTTAGGACCTGATCCTAATGTCAGTTATCCGATACAAGTACAATATTGTGGAAATTGTTCTCTTCCCATCGAGGTAAGGCAATCTTAAACAATTGGTATCTGAAATTTATACTGTATGACAAAAAGTTAATACTTGGATTTTTTGAAAATGTAATTCCCATTTGCATCACAGTATTGTGAATATTATCCAGAATATGAAAAGTGTAAGCAGTGGCTAGAAAGGAATTTACCAACAGAATTTGAGAAAGTTAAATTAGGTAATTATAATTTCTATATTGTTATTCTAAATAGTAAGTTCTATTATCATACTATAAATTTTATTTACTTGTGAGCAGTAGAAGATGCTACTACAGAGGCAGGTGGGGGGGAAGATGAAAAGAAACGACAAAAACGTGGTGGCAAAGGCATGCTTAAGTGGAGGTGAAGATGAAAAGAAACGACAAAAACGTGGTGGCAAAGGCATGCTTAAGACAAAGAAAAAAGAAGATGTTCCAAAATTAGTGACCGTATCTAGAGCACCTAGAGGGAAAAAGAAATCTGTTACAGTTGTTACTGGTCTCAGCACTTTTGGTAATATAAAATGCTTATTCATAGCAATTCATTTTTTTTGCTAAACAAGATAGTTGCTTAGCTGTAAAATTAAAACTTTATGCATATTAATTTACAGACATAGATCTAAAAGTAGCTGCAAAGTTTTTTGGTAGTAAATTTGCATGTGGATCTAGTGTAACAGGAGACGATGAAATAGTTATACAAGGGGATGTAAAAGATGAACTATTTGAAGTAATTCCAGAAAAGTGGCCACAAGTAAGAACAATAATTGTTTTTTTGAATGATATTAAAAATACACAATCTATGATATTTAACAAATTTTTAGATTGATGAAGATTCCATAGATGACCTGGGGGATCATAAAAGATAATGAGCAAACCGAAAGTTTATTTGCACAATGTATTTAATATTATATCATTTCCATTTCTGTTTAATATAAATAAAATGTACATAAAGTATATAAAATGTTTTTAAGAACTTTGTACAGTTAAAGTAGTAAAACCATGCTATCCATCTTGTTCATCTTCACCTAAGAAATTTCCTACTACTTGAAGTAAAGAATTTACTTCATCATCGGTCAAACGGTCTTCGCTATCCTCTATAATCTAAAAAATATATATATACATAATTATATGTACTTTCAAATATTATATTTCTTATCACGCATTTTATATTACCAGTTGTATTTCAAGAGGTGTTTTAGGACACATATTTAAAAGAGTTAATTTCTCGCACTTTGTTAGTTTATAAGGTTCCAATGCTTGTAGAAGTCCTTTAATTTTTTCAGGTGTTTGCCTTTTACATGGAGTCTTTTCTAAATATCTTATAGTCTGATACGTTATACTTGCCAACTGATTTTGTTTCATTTTTTGTTTTTTATTTGATTTTATATTTTGCAGAATATTTAGAACCTCATAATTGCTTAAACAAGCTGAGCAATCTTTGAGCCTAACATAAAATTTATTCTGAAAGTTTTTAATAGCTACTCACTAAAACAATTATAAATACGAAAAGATAGTTACTCACACTTCCATATTAAATATTCAAACAATATTTAACTGTGATTCTCTCTTATATTTCCAAATTACAAATATATAGTAAGGTTAGGTGCTCATATTTATTGTTATTCTTCAGATACAAATATTTGATTCCAATATAAGTATATGTCGTGTGCATGACACGCGCTCAGGGACCACAGCTGACTATAGTTATATTTTAGATCTTGCAAGACTGTATATTGGTAAGTTGTAGCCCCCATACGTTACTCGATAGTTATAAAGATAAAAAGCAAAATATATTTACAGTGTTATTGATTAGTTACTATTATTTATTATTATTATTACACTTTCTGACATTTAGCGATTAAATATTACAATTTAATTAATAAAGGAAGACGTAAAGAGAAATATATAATAGCATTTAATTGCTCATAATTTAATTGTTCATAATTTTAACATTCTAAATAGACGTAAGATAAATTATAATTAACTATTTAGCAACGATTATCAAATTTTATTCTGGAAAATATTTAAAATATTTTATTTCAATTCTAAATATTTTTTTTTATTTCTTTTTATTAAATGATTTAATATGAAAATGATATTAATCGAAATATATATAAAATCTAATTTTAGCAACTCTAATTGCAAAATTATTTTCATTTAAAACTTTACAATTTCCTTTAAATTTTATAGAATATAAAATGAAAGATATATATATATATATATATATATATATATTTAATTTCATTATAAAATGTAGTACAAATTCAATTCCAAATATCAAACTTTATATAAAATTCTATTTATTAGCAGTACAAAATACTTAAAAGTACATATACATATAATACATACCATATAGAGTTGAAATAAGAATACAATTTTCGTTAAAAATTTGTACGATATCCTTATTTTTATGCATTTATATGAAATTTGCGAGTGCAAAATTCCATTCTTAAACAGAATGCATTTGAGATGAAAAGTTATATAAAATATCCAACTAATACTTGATAGGTAAAACAATTTTTACCGAGATCCTACTTTGTTAATTATATTCGCAGGAATATAAATTTGCATAAAAATCCGCAATCTACTCATGTTAAACCCTTTCAAATTTTATGGTAAGCCTCATATTCACTCACAAACAAATTTGAAGAAATTTTAAGTCGCGGGCCTCTAATACGATAGTCACATACCTGTGAACATTAACACGACCTCTGTACGGAATCGTCTGACATCTTGCAAAGGCAACTGTACGTCTGAGTGCGTACTCCGTAGTGTTTTGTATTTTGCAAGTATACACTACCATCAGTGTGGTGATTCGAGTTAATGATCGATGTGATTCATAAGGGTGGACAAAATGTAGACCGATGACCGAGGTTGATTAAGTCTTTGAAGAAGATCGTCGGAGAATAGGACCGATACCGAACAGAAAATCCTACGGACCGCAACTTTTCTTACAACACGTATCGATCTCTCTCTCCGCAGGCAATGCATCTTCCTAGCCTGTCGTGCTATGTTTATAAACTGTTGACCTTGCTTGTTAAAGATCGGTGAAAGATTCTCGATCGCCGAGAAATTACGATCAACAATGGAAATCGTCGGCGACTACGAGTACAACACGAAAGATCTGATAGGCCACGGCGCATTCGCCGTCGTCTTCAGAGGTAGACATCGTAAAGTGAGTTTTCTTGTTTTTTTTTCGATCATTGAAAATCGTGATCGTCAATGAAATTATAAAAAGGAGTGAATCAACGAAACTTTGATCATAATTGAAGACCACAGATAAAGAACATGATAAGCTTATTTGTTTTGATTTTATAATTTTGATGCTAGTTTCCTCTGTAAAACATGAAAAGTGTGATTTATTATGTTTCTCTCCCGTGATCTTCAATTACATGTGTTGGTGATTACATGTGTTCCTTTTTGTTTTGTGGAAACTAGATTTCACCATCACAATTGAAGACAACAGAAAAAGAACATGATAAGTCTATTTGCATTGATTTTATAATTTTGATGTTACTTTTCTCTGTAAAACATGAAAAGTGTGATTTATTATGTTTTCTTCAGTGATCTGCAATTATTATATGTGTTGGTGATTATATATGGTCCTTTTTGTTTTGTAGAAACCAAATTTTGTAGTGGCAATCAAAAGTATCACCAAAAAAAGTTTGGCAAAATCACAGAATCTACTTGGAAAAGAAATCAAGATTCTGAAGGTTTGTAATTTGTGCTATTGTATCTATATTTTGAGACACATTCAATGTTTGTATTTGACTTATATTATAAAAGAATTGCCTTTATTTAACTTATAAAGAAACATGATCTTTCTCATGTTATTCACCTGAAATAAAAAATTGTAAAGTAATCGTAAGATACTTATGTTTCTTACACTAATTATTAATAAGAACAATAATATTTACTATAAGGAAGTTTGAATGTTTAAAACTAATACATATATTTTTTAATAAGAATTATCTGTGGTTAAGAAACAGTTTAAATGTTTCATATTTCAATAACAACTGCATAATGAGTTTGGTTGCTGACTAAAACATTATGTTTCAGGAACTAACAGAATTACATCATGAAAATGTTGTTGCATTATTGGACTGCAAGGTTAGTACAATGAGAATTAGCACATAATACTTACGTTAGTAAGCATTAAATATCTTTACTTTCTTTGTAAATATTATATAATAGTATTGATGTTGGTTTAATTATGAACTTACTGTTTAGGAGTCTAATTATAATGTCTTCCTGGTTATGGAGTATTGTAATGGTGGGGATTTAGCTGATTATTTAAGTGGTATGTTTTCTATAAAAAAAAGTCTTATTAAAACATTGAAATGATATTTACACGAGCTAAAGATCAACTATATTTACTTTATTATTTCATTTTTCATTAATTAGCAAAAGGAACTCTTTCTGAAGATACTATCAGGGTGTTTCTAAAGCAATTAGCAGGTGCGATGAAAGCACTACATGCCAAAGGTGTAGTTCACAGAGATCTTAAACCACAAAATATTTTACTCAGTCATAATTGTGGTAAGGCTTGTCCACAGCCACATCAAATAACATTAAAAATTGGCAAGTATTTATTTCTTTATTTCTTTAATACGTATTGTACCACATGAAAAAAAAGTTTAAATTTATCTAAATTGAAGGGATAAGTAAAGAAAAAGGGTTCTAAATTATACTTTTCTGTTCCAGCGGATTTTGGGTTTGCTAGGTTCTTACAAGATGGTGTAATGGCTGCAACATTATGTGGTTCACCTATGTATATGGCACCAGAAGTTATAATGTCACTTCAGTATGATGCGAAAGCAGATCTCTGGTCTTTAGGAACAATAGTTTTTCAATGTCTTACTGGGAAAGCTCCATTTCAAGCTCACACACCTCAGGCTTTAAAACTGTTTTATGAGAAAAATGCAAATCTTGGACCTAAGTATGTTGTAATATACTTATGTGCTTTTGCTGAAAAGAGAAGCTTATATTCATTTTCTTTTTTGTTTTAATTGCTTATATTTTAGAATCCCACCCGGAACTTCACCTGAGTTATCAGATCTTTTAATGGGCTTATTAAGACGTAATGCTAGAGATCGTATGCCTTTTGATGAATTCTTTGGACATCCTTTCCTTCAAGGTTCCAGGGAAAGCCCTAGTCCAGTTCCTGCTGAACTTCCTGCTTCTCCAGGAACATTAGCGATTCAAGAAGGAGCTACGGCTGTTACAAGATCAGAGCCAGAAACAACCAGTCCGTGTTCCAGCCCTGAAGATGACTTTGTGCTTGTGCCAAGTGATCTCAGTAGTGACACAGACAATAATCCCAACACACAACAAGTAAAGTACGTAATTTAATAACATCTTATACAAAGAATTTCTATTTATCTTTTATTTTATTTATTATTATATGTGTTTTTAATATTGTTATTAATTGATTAGATATATCAAACAAACTAGTAGAGAGGCAGTGAGTCCACCACGACCATGCTTCCTTCCCATTTCTGAGCCAATTCCCGTTCCATCTCAAAGAAGTATTGCACAACCATCATCTCCTTCTACAAATGTACGATCGGGAAGTAGTGTTGTTCCTCGCTCACAACCTATAAGTATGAAACGCAGTGTGGATACTCATAGAAGTCATGCTCCTGATATTGGCTCTCTTAGTCCACCCAGTGTTCAATTTGTCATTGGTACACCACCCAGTAGAAGGTATACTAATTTTTTATTGGTATAAATTATTTTATTTGTCGTATGTGTATCATCTTTTTTAACTGTGATTATTTTCAGATTAAGTGAAACACCTCCACCACCAAATACGTGGCAAGTTAGTCCTGTTGCAAGGCATTCACATACTTCCAGTGGGACGTCACCATTAAGGCGTTCGACTGGAAATAATAGTGCATCTTCGCCATTATTAACAGGACCGTTGGCAGTGTTAGGTTCTCCTACATCGAGAGCATTTCAGGATAATAACAACACATTGAGGCATTCGCCAGTTATTCCTTTTGGAACAAGAGCTGTTACACTTCCTGAAATATCTGGTACGCATTTTATATTATTTACAAATTGTTTGTGCTACAGCAGGAGAAATATTTTATGTTAAATTAGTCAATATCTTCACTCTCTTTTTTTTGGTACTATATTTACAGAGGCGGGTAGTTTCCAAAATCTCCTACCAGAAGTAAATCCTACGATAACAGATGATCGACCACTGACGTTCTTTGCACCTGAACTTCCAGAGGAGACGCTTTTGGAACGAGAACACAACGAAATATTAGCGAAGTTAAACTTTGTTGTTGCATTATGCGAATGTGTATGTGAAGTAGCAAGAACAAGAGCAGGACCTTTAGGTGCGCCTTTGGGTGGTATCGAACAAGCAAGCACTGCTGCAACAAGGAGGAGAGCAGAACAAGTAATTTTACTTGTTAGAGCTCTTCAGTGGCTCAGTTCTGGACTAAATCTTGCAACTCAACAACTTAACGCTGGTCGGTTGCAGCCAACTACTACCGTTAAAGAAGGTAATTTTCGTCTATTAAAATTATGAATAATTATTGTATATTAAATATAATAATATATAGAGATGATTATATTTCAGTTGTGAATACAATGAACGAAAAATTCAGAACGTGCCTCTCAGAATGTAAACAGCTCAATAGTGCTGGGCTTCTTCATCAGACAGGAGCTACTGCAGATAAAATTCTTTACAACCATGCCATCCAAATGGTAAGTATCTGGGAAATTTCTTTTACTTTCTTTTTTTTTAACTAGGTAAAAATATACTTATGAAATAGATATATTTATAAAAAACTATATTTTTAACAGTGTCAATCAGCAGCACTGGACGAATTGTTTGGCAACCCTGCAGAATGTTTTCAGCGGTATCATACAGCACAGATATTGCTCCATTCTTTATCGCAACATGTCAGTCACAGTCAGGATAGAGCCCTCCTTATTAAATGTAATTTATATATTTTTTTTATTGTAGAATATATATTCCTATTTTTAATCAAGATATTAAAATGTATATATTTTATTTTAGATAAAGATGCTGTTGAAAAACGCTTATACGTACTTCAACAACAAGGTTACATTTATGCAACCGATCCTACATAGCGCTTGTGAAAAATGGCAGCAGAGTGCAGCGACCCGCCCAAACCCGTACCGTGCTCGATATCTCTTTTCTGTAAGATATTCTGCCCTATTCTGTATAAAAACTGTTAATTCATTAATCATTAAGACCTTGCTACAAAGATGACATTGTAGAAAGAAGCAAATTTAAGATAACATATATAGTAACTTTGTTAGATCTTACACAGAATAGGGTAGATTACCCGTGGAAGAGTACGAAAGTGATTCTGTACAAGTTTCTTTATATGATTTATTAATAATGTGAACAATGAAATTAAATTATATATATAATATAGATATTATATTATATATATATATTGTAATGTACGTATGGTTGATTAACTTTATGACTAACCTTTATTTCATATCAAACAATAAACATGTGTATACTAATAGCATTGTGCGTTCAATGCAAGGCATGTTTCTTATCAAATAAGATAATAGTGATATAGTAACTGTTAAAAAAACAAGAGTAAAGTATTGTTTTCATTAGGTGATCTATATTAATGTTGTTTGCTACAGAAGTATCACCAAGTATATTATTTTTTCTTTTCATCCACAGCTGGTTCAATACTTGGTTTGTTATCCTTATAAATTGTGTAATTCAATGCTGTAGCAAGAGTAGCCCATGCTAAATATGGAATAGTCAACCAACCAGCAAGTGAATTCACATGATAAAAACACATACCCATTGCTACAGTACTTCCCCATAATAAAACAATTTCATACAAAGCCTAAAAGCATAAAAGGAGATAAATGGAAAGGTAATTAAAATCTGTGATATATTTATTTCTATCAAAATACCCATTTTATCTTGTGTAATCCAAAGAACAGTGGTGTCCAAGACCAATTTAGTATTAAATTAGTTCCATAAATAGAAAGAGGTACTATTGCTTCCCTGAAACCACCACCATCTCTCCATACTAAATATGAAGAATACCCCATTGTGCAATAAAGGGTTGTCCATACTGGAGCGAATGCCCAGTTTGGTGGAGTCCAACATGGTCTTTTTAAAGACTGTTAAATATGATTCAAAACATTTATTATTTTATTAAAATTAACTTCATTTGAAAAGAATTTTAATGTAACCAATGGTCAAAAGTGAAGATACATTGTAGTATATTAAAAACGAATGAATCTCTCTGAAAAAGCGATGTAGGGATAAAAAGAGAACGCTACATACAGGCCTCTTGTGTTTTTCTCTAATAACGCTTACAATAAATATGAAAGCACAATACCGATCAACAAGAAGCGTTAATGTGCATATCTCATTAGACAAGGACAGAAGGAGCTCCTATGCAACGTTTTTTTCCTATTCCTATATCACATGTATTCACACGATAATATATGATTCGCGTGTTCTGTTCTTAGATAAGAATCTCTATCTTACAATATTCTTTAAGTTGCTGAATATATGAGATTTTTTCAAGCATTTAATATAATAAAATAAAACGGAGAAATATATAATTTATTTAGAAATAAATCCTTATTTCAACCGAGTAAAAATTGAACATAATCAATTTTAATTAATAGATACAGTAATCGGGACTTTTGTTATTTTATTAGAAATAATATTTAGAACTAGTATTTGTTAGTATATTACAAAGTTTTATACCACTCTCTATGTATATTTATTCATAAATTAAATTTATTGGCTAAAATTTTCTGACTCCATGTTCCACTACTGGATTTGAGTAGTTCTAACGATTAATCGATTTAATTACCTCATACCAGGGTTTGATATTTTTTCTAGTGATATAACTTCCAGCCCATCCTCCTATATTCGGATAAATAACAGCTGCCACAACCGGCCAAGATATTTTTACAGGCATTTTACTTAGAAGGAAATATTATTTGACTATTTTTCAAAATACCTGAACATAGATTGCAGAGAATAGAGAAAATGCGTTTATTACGTTTCGCGACTGACGTCTTTCTAGTGGTGTACTTACTGCTTACACTTACTTCGGAGAACTATCGGCACACCTACACACTTTTACTTGTTACATCCGTTATTACGTACATTGGTAACAATGATTGCGATGAATTTACATCGTCATGAATACTTATGCAATGTAATGCAATTAATATTATAAATAAAATTACAACTATCATATAAAATCATATATTTCTCATACATGAGATAAAAACATATACACACATTTAATAAAAATAACGTACTAACAATAATGAATGCAAAAAATAGCTTCATTACAGATAAGATATTTCATGATTTTTTTACGCAATAAATCGCTATTTTTTTTTTTATAAAATTTGGAATGTAAGTTGATATATGTATTCGCTATTAGCTATGAGATTGTTTTATTTTATTGATTTTCTGCATCAATAGAAATATAAGCACAAATATACGTACACGGTCATGTACACACGTATGATTGAAAATGTATTATTTTATTTAATATTAGGCGAGTTACATATTTTTATTTACATATATAATTTAATAAATATATTAAGAACAAAACAAATGAGTTTATATTACACAAATGTGCAAAATGTCATGCATGATAATTATAAGTGACTATTAGCTGTAACTAGCATAAGTATCCCATGAGTATACGGGTGTGTGCGTGAACATATATTGTTCTAATTAAATTGTCATAATAGTACATAATAACATGCACACATATAGGCGCATATGTACTCCTATGTGAATATAACATTACGTGTGAGACCATTTTTCTTTTTCTCTTGGTACACGTACAAGGTATATTTATGTTTTGACACAAACAAAATTTGTTTATGTATCATTTCTGAGAGAAATAAATTTAAATTTCAACATGAATTTAAATGTTAGCAAATATAAAATATAACATCCTCAAGGAACACTTTTTTAGAAGATAGAACGTGAACAAATTTTTTACTAAATTGCTACATAAAATTGCTGTTTTAAAAGTTATATTAATACACTTTAATTTTTTCTTAAATTAATAGTAAATACGCGTAATTTTGTTGATATCTAGAAAAGTAAACTTGATATGGAAAGGCATACAAAAAGAATACTTCCAAATAATTCATTTCTACATTACAAATTAGTACATATATTTTAAATGGGTCTTGTGTTAATGAGAGCGATAGAAAGACGACAATCCATGGAAGAGTTTTCCAGTGTTTTGTTTACTTTTGGTTGGTATTCTTTAGTCAGAGTTAATCGATATATTTATTTTATTTGCATTTCTTCATTATAGTTCTGCCTGACATTTGCATTTTTCTTATTCGTGAATATTCATTCCATATTTCATTAATCTTTTTATCATACTCGACTGATTAAAAAACTCTCGTTAATTTTATTTCACTCGCATTTCTGAGCTTTCATTTCCTTTTCCCCATTTACTTCCTTTTTTCGTTCAGTTTTGGAGAAAAATACTCCAGCAAAGTGATATTTAACGCGTTCTCTTAGTTTTTGACGAATTACCATGGTAGTTGTTATTGTATTACCTAGGAACAATACCAAGAACATACCACTAAGAACTGGAACATGCCATGTAGCTTCTGGATGGGATACTAATGTGTATAAGACATATGCATTGTATAACTGAAATACATATCCAACAAAAAGGAATGGCAATAAAAACGATAATCCACGCCACATCCATGAATGGAAACCTTCGATAGTAATATCCATATTATGCCTTTCACCTAATGCTTTCAACCGATACAAAACACCCCGCTGATAACAAAATTGCAGAGACTGTACTACACCTGCAAATAAAACATACTATATTTTATGTAAATAAAAGAAATTGTTGGATAAATTTTTGATAAATAACATACTGATGTAAACATTGAACCACATAAATTGTTGCCTAAATGCATACCATGGCCCTGTGTTAGGCCATACTAATAACAGACCAGATACTACAGTCGAAAAGAAATGGTGAAATCTCCACCAACCTTTTATTCTTGAACCATTTACTTTTAATATACTTTCCCTTATTGTCAATGTACAATAATACCAGACTAAAAGGAACATAAAACTAAGTTCCAAAGTTCTGCAACAGATATTACCAATAAGAGGTTGTTATAAATATACTTTCTGTTTCGATACAAAATAAATAATATATATTACCTGACATTAGTTACCAGATTTAACATAGATAAAATAAAACCAATTACAGAAAGGACTAATTTAAATTTTTCATATTCATCTTTATATTTGAATCTGAAAGATAAATGAGATGTTCAAATATACGTCCTATAATGTTTTGTCTGTTGGATAAATAACTATTACTGTCATCCTTACTTATCATTTTTGTTTAAAATGGAAACATTAACATTGCCTAAAATAATTTGAAGATATGTGCCATTTGGTTTTGGTAATGTTTGTTCTATTTCATGTAACTGCTGTTTTCTTTTAGCCATCTCTTTGCTTAAACTTTTTTGTGCTTCGCTCGCATGTAACCTAAAGTTAAATGAGAATATATTCAATTATTTGAAGAAAATTAATTGAAAAAGTATATACGTACTAAAACAATTACTTACTGTTTCAATGATTTTGATATTATACTCATCCGGTATTTTTGGTGAGAAATTCCTTTCAAACATTTTGCTTGAAGTTCACTTACTTCCTCTAATTTTGCAAGATATTCTTTGTTCAATGCCTGTTAACAAAATTGAAATATTGATGACGTTGAAACATTATTAATATCCAAAATACCTCACACAATATGGAGAAATATTGTTTGTTCCAAATGTATTGATTAAACAATGAACAGTAACGAAAAGAACAAAGAAATGTTTCGTGATAGTATTTCAAACACGTTTATGAATATATTTTCGAAAAAAGGGTTTTTTTAATTTCAGGAAATATTATATAAAAGTATTTTTATGCACCGGTTGCGATTATGGATAAATAAAAAATACACTTAACCTCATAGAAAATGGTCCAACGTTTAAACCACCGACAACATCAGTACCCAGGATTAACAAAAAATTATCTTACTTCTAATTCCTTGTACTCTTGTGCTAGGTCGTTCCAGTCTTTTAAACAGGATTCAACATCAGTATCCATCGCAGCAAAAAAAAAAGGGACGATGGCCAACGAGTAACGACTCACTAAAGTTTCAGGTACGCAATGATTTGCGGTGTTCTTATAGACCTGAGTCAAGCACTTCCTCGTGCATCTAAGTAGCGAAGGAGAGCTGTGGAAACAGTCTCTTATTAGTTGTGCTAATCTTCGAATATATGATGAATATGTATTTCATATTTAGCATAGAGAATTTAAATTTTGCAATGTAATTTGAACTTCATCCAATATTAAAATTTATTTATTTTTTATTATTAATTTTATTTTCAATGTATATTTATTTGGTACATTTCTTTCTTCTAAAGCATTTTAACAAGTTTTATCTTCTAGATTTTCGCAAACCCAATGGAAGATTTTGGAGAACAGTTTTGATAACGCTCATTGGTTTCTATAAATAGAAGATTAAAAGTTTTAATATTGCATCAAAATATTTAATTAGATTTTTCCAATTTATATTTGAATAGTAAAAAAAGTTGATTTTTATGGAATTTTATTTTTATGAAATAATGAATTAAATATAATTATAATTGCTAAATTTGCTGAAATATATTTGAGTTATTTGTCAGTAAAATTGGGCATTTCACTACTGTCCATCTTACATAATTCAAGTGATAACGATATCACATTCGTTAATTATATTTAATACACAATTTAAATTTGACTACAGCAGGAATTACTTAAATAGTATTAGCATATAAAAAAGGTGATAAAATCGATATATTTTTATTAATATGAATAATTAAGAAACATATAACGAATGAATATTGACAAATTTTGTAAGAAATAAAATTACAAATTTACATCTAATACATTCTATATATTCTGTAATATTCTCTGCATTTCGTATGTTAAATTGTAAGTATATAGTGTATAGCTACAAGCAGAAAGAATTATATAGCTATTAAAATTAACAATATCTTCTGAAAATATTGGAAAACATTGCTTCTCCGATACATAATTCTAGATTAGATCAAAATCAAATAAAGTTTTTTCCTCTTAATTAACAAATTATTAATAAAAATATAGACGCAGGTCATTTTTTCAAACTCTTTGACTATATAATGTTTACCTACGAAGGTTACTGTTTATACTTTTAGTAGAGTAATTAGGCATTTATTAATTTGAACTCGTATTTCAAATTTATCAATCGTAAAATGTCAGCTGATCGAGCCACTGTTCAGGTAAACTATCGGTAGAATCGCCATTTGCGAACAGTACCATACAGTCGGTGAATTTAACCCGCGTCCTGTTGTATCGTTGAACACGCGAATTTTTTCACGGTCGTTGACCAGACAGCTCCACCGATCTGCGAAGACAAAAGTGCTTTGCATTCTCTGGTAAACATGTTCCTTTATATTCATCGCACTTCATTTTGACTGTTCAACGTTGATCTTCTGACCCAACGCGTAAAAAGTATCACCTGCCTGGACGTTTCTTCATCCGTCGTGGAATACACGAATTTCAATGATAAGCACTTCTTCAGAGATGTGTTAATTAGCTTCAGAAATCAGTCGATGATTAAAATATAATAGAATTTTTAACAACAATAAATAAAATTTTCTTTCGCAAATTTTTTGGATGTATGATTACAACAGTATGTATAATTGTGGCATTGCATCATTAAGTATGCCTGAATGAGCATTACACTTTAATCACTTTCATGATGTTGTAATTATGTGCAAGATATCAAATAGTTTTCAATTTGTATTAACATATATGATATAAAACACAAACAAAATACGATACGCGTACTGCTTGATAAAAAATTTCAAATGAGGAATTTACAAAGACACGAGCGTACCATTTGAAATAAGATGAATTTTACCAGTGGCCTCTTTTTACAGTGGATCTATTTTGTTGTAGTATTCAAAAGTAGATATTCTATCTAGATGGAAAGTATCGAATGTATTATTTATAAATGCTATTGTCCTGTTCAAAATCTTCTCACCTTATTCAATTTTACATATGTAAATATCTTCTTCTTATCTACGTAAATTACGTTTTACTATGTTCTTAGATATATTATACACTTAAAACAGTCATTTACAAGTCTTTAATAACAAAACAACACGTGAAATGATGAACTTTGATACCGTTTTTTTATACTTAATAACATATTTATTAACTTACACAAATATTTATTACCGATAAAAGCCAATTTTTTCGCTAGTCATACGGTTAAACATTTCCGAAATGTTGAATGAAATTCTGAAATGCATTGAATATAGAAAATATTTGAAATTATTAAATTGTTGATTATTATTATGTATTAAAAACAGATATAGTATATATAATAATCATAACTTAGTACGAATAATACTAGTTACGAAATAGATATAATACATGATAGTATTATTAAATTTATTCCCATAATGAAATTTTATATAGCTTATAATACTTTATTCTTGGAACCTCGCACGTGGTCCCCACTCCATGTAAGAAGTTTCAGCAGGAGATTTAAATATCTTCGAAACTGTTAAACAGTGTGTAGTAGTCGGGCGTTATGGGCTCGGGGTAACCACGATCAGACCGCGAGGAAGTATCAGTGTTTGCCAACACATGAAAAACTGATTAGTAGTGCCACTCTCAAAAAGGAGTTGTAATCACGCAACTCTATTTGAAATAATTCTAACGGATTAGTTTCTATAAAAATAAAAAGATATATTAATATGATACTTTCAGACACGATTGTTTCACAATAATAAATATAAAAAGCTCAACGGCAATAATTAAAGATAAGTTTCAGTGAATGTAAAATTAGTGGACCTACAGAGAGCTAAAGAAATAATAGTGTTATATATAAAAACATTATTCTACAATAAGCACAAAACTGTTTGATCTATTTATTGTTCTTAATTACTTAATTGTTATAGTTATAGTGATTGTCTCAATTTGAACTTAATTGATCATACATAAGAATCGGAAGTACGAATTAAGAAAGATATTACATTTACGTCAGTATGCAACACAAACGTGCTTGTTCTAATACCAACAACCTCTCGGTACTATCAAACTGTAATCAGTTTAACACATACGCGGCATATATCATGTAAATTAATTGTGGATAAACATTAAGATAATAACAAAGTAGCCGAAGAAGTATTACAAACAGCGATTTACATTAATTACTTGTTATTATGTTAATCTGAGCGACACTGTAAATGATTTGAAAATAAGAACGTAGCAAATCACAAAATGAAGGAATTCTCGTGGATGAAAGTGGAAACCTGCAGCGGAGAGGTAAACGGCTTCTAGATAACGGTCATAGTAAACGGTATTCGATCTTCTTCTTCACGTGTATACCAGTGTTTCGTAATTGGCGTGTAACTTCAATATTTTCCTCGAATTCCGCTATCTTTACGATTCAATACTTTCTATTACCGTATCTAGTTTCGGTTACAACCGGAAACCGCAATAATTGTCAAGGTGCTCGGGAGAAAAGTAGAACTGAAAAATATTTACCAGAAGAGAATTATGATCGATCACGTTATCAGAAAAAATATACGAATCAGCGTTGATACAATGATCATAAAAACGATTCTGCTATCGCATTAAATTGTCAACCAGTGTTATCACCGGATTGATCTCGAGTTATTAAACATGACACCAGAGAAAGAAAAGAAGAGCTTCTTTAGTACTGTTAAACGACTTCTATTTCAATGAAGTCATTTCTGAGATTTCGAAGAAAGAACGATTCGTTCGACAAAATAAAAGTTTTAAATTTAAAACTCAACAACGTGTGTTCAATGTAAAATATATAACACCCTAAAATAGTATCGTGTCAGCGGTAATCATCGTTTCTTCGCATTAACGGTAAATAAGGAAGAATCATCGGTGAATTATGAAGATGAAAGTTGCGCAAAATGTTTTCAAAACCGGCAAATCTGTAAACGTTTCCAATAAAATTACCGCGTTGAAACAATGTGCATCTGGTTGCGATTGCACAGGCGCGTCGCAAGCATCGAGGATCGATGATCACTCCGATATCTCGAAATCTATAGATGGCGCGAATCAGTCGAACATAGAGATCAGCGAAAAATCGCGCGACAGAAATCTTGCTACTGTGGTGACAACGGCGTCCAAAAGAGTTATACGGAAAGCACCAGAACCACGGGGAATTCCTGTTTTTGGGACGCTTTTGTCGTTCATTCTTTCTGGCGGGCCAAAAAGGCAACATGAATACGTTCATAGAAGACACAAGGAATTGGGTCCAGTTTATAGGGAACGTTTAGGACCAGTTACAGCAGTTTTCGTAAATTCAGCCCATGAATATCGAAGAATTTTTAGACTAGAAGGTTCGGCGCCAAAACATTTCCTACCGGAAGCTTGGACACTTTACAACGAAATACGGAAATGTCGCCGCGGTTTATTGTTCATGTATAGTAACTTTAAGCATTTCTTTGGTTTAAAAATATCTGAAAAGTCATTTTTAATGTATAAATATGTACATCACAAATAAAACTCAGTTTTGATAATTATTGTACATAAATTGTACATATTGTACATACCACGTAATATGGTGGTATGTTAAGAACGTATATGAAGAAAATTCAAATTTTTTGGTTGAATTTTAAAATGAACATTTACATTTTTATAGGGATGGCGAGGAATGGATACACTTTCGTAAGATTTTAAATAAAGTAATGTTAGTACCGGATCCAACAAATTTAATGTTTGAGCCGTGTCAAGAGGTGGCCATTGGACTTAGGCAGAAATGGCAAAAACAGATTAAGACTGATGCTATCATAATGAACTTACAGGTTCAACTTTATCAATGGTCTATCGAGGGTAAAAATAACTTACTTTAATCGAAAATTCAAGGTAGAAAAGTATTTATAGAAGCTTGTTTTTTATTTTGCAGCAATGATGGCCACGTTAATGGGACCGTGTTGGCATTTTTATAAGAAACAGTTGTCTCGAGACTTCGAAATATTGGCGAAAACGTTGCACAAAATATTCGAATATTCAGCTAAATTATCCATTATACCAGCCAAACTAGCTATGAATTTACGCTTACCTGTTTGGAGGAAATTCATTGCATCTGCTGACACAGCTTTCGAAATTGTTCGAATACTGGTCCCGGAAATGACTAAATTAGGTGGCGACGGTTTGTTAAAGAAAATGATGGATGAAGGTATTCAAGCCGAAGACGCAATCTGCATCGTTACCGATTTCATTTTAGCAGCTGGTGATACGGTTAGCTCAACTGAAACCGACAGGATAATATTATTCATTTGAAATTTGAATTTAATGATTAATAAGAATAGAATAAAGAAAAGAATTCAAGAAAAATTTTAATTTAAAATTAAATTTCAATATGATTCATTTTACATACTTATTTTACATACATTGCTAGTATTTGAAAACTAATTTTATACTTTATGCTCAGACAGCAACCACCTTACAATGGATATTGTTACTGTTGTGTAATCATCCCGAAAAGCAAGAGGAACTATTTGAACAATTGAAGGATCTTCCACAGAGAGATATATTGCGCGTACCATTATTAAAAGGCGTAATCAAAGAATCTCTTCGACTATATCCTATAGCTCCATTTATATCTAGATATTTACCGGAAGACAGTGTGATTAGTAATTACTTTGTACCAAAAGGGGTAAATGAATTTATACTACGTGTTACTTATAATAAACATATCGATAAACAACAAAGAAGGTATTTAAAAATCACGTGATATTTTATTGTAGGAGCTACTCGTATTATCACTTTATTCGAGTGGTCGCGACGCTGCGAACTTTCCGCAACCAAATGAGTTCCTTCCGGAAAGGTGGATTAGAACGGAAAAAGGCACTTATCAAGGTGTAGTGCATCCATATGGTAGTTTACCATTCGCCTTAGGCATTAGAAGTTGCATTGGTCGAAAACTAGCAGAAATACAAATATTGCTTGCATTGGCAGAGGTGCGAAAATAATAAACTTAAGATATGTTAAGGTTTATTGAATTTATTTGATTTTATCTTAAAAATTGCAGTTGGTTAAATCATTCAAAATAGAATGTATAAATAAGGATCAGGTTAAATTAATTTTACACTTGATATCTGTACCGTCGGAGCCGATGAAGTTAAAGCTGCTGGAGAGAAACAAATAGATAATGTATCGAAGTCAAATATCATTTAAGGAAAGTATTTTTCATTTTCTATTTTTTGTTTATTTATTCCTTCGGAACAATGTATTGCCCATTTACATTTATATCGAATAAACTAAGATTGAAATATTTTCGTCATTATACATGCATATATGTTTGTGTATGTACGCGCACGCATGTAATTATTTACAATTATCAGCATTTAAATATATATTTATAATTAAATGATACTTATAAATTGTATATTTATATATCAATTCCATGTCTTAAAATATATTGACAATAAGTATGATCAAGGTATTGTACGAACTAAATGTTTCATTATGTAAAAGTCTCATTAAGTGCTTTCTACATAAAGAATCTTGATTAAATGATTAAATCATCATAATTATAACAGTTGCTCACGCCATCGCTAGTAAATGAGTGTTTCGATGTGGATAGTATAATAAAAAATAACAAAACATCGTTATTCATTCTGTAGTTTTGATTTACTTCTCCATAAATTTAAGCATGCCCGGTTTTAGTAACCGTATCGAAACACCCTGTATATATGAAATTAATTCGTCATTAACGTTGGCACAAAACGCTGTTGATGATTTTTCTTATTTCGTCTAGAAATTCCTGAAAACTTTCGGTGGTAGAAAAGTCTTTAAATGCTTGAACTTTTTCAGGCTTTGTCATCGGGGCTGTCAGAAACCTCTTCACGCAAGAGGATTTCAGTTCATGGCACGAATTCGCTTTCGCCCAGTTCCACGCTTTACTGAAGTTTTTATAATTTAACTGAGAAATAGAACTTTCTGTAAGAATATCTGATATATCAGCCATAAGAAATTTATCAGCCAATAGCACGGCATCTAGTAATGATTCGATAGTTCTATTTTCGAAAGTTGCTCCATTAGCAGCTAACAATAATGTGTTAAGAGCTTCTTTCGATGTGTTTCGTAATTTAACACGTTTCTTGCCGGATTCTGAAAAGTACCCTTCAAGCATGGCGGAAAATGCATCCGATTTTTGACACAGCGTTTGCCTACAAGCGTCGACAGTCGTACCATCGTCCAGTTCAAATGTAACCGTTGCAAGTTTGGGATGATTGTCATATACTCTTGGAAAATCAGTCGAAGCAGTGTCCGTGATTTGACACTTCTCTATAATCTCAGGTTGAATTTCAAGCGTGTTTGCCAGTCGACAAATTGAACAAATAGCGTTTTCGTGAAGAACATGTTGTTGGTCGGATAGAACGTGAAATATTAATTGAAGACCACCGTGATTGTTCAGTAGCGATTTTAGAATATATCGCGACTTGATTACGAATGGTATCGAAACTGCGATAATCAATTTATGAGCTTCCTCTCCGCGAAGCAGTATAGACGTAAGTTCACCTACTGCTCCGCCGGTTTCTGCTAAAACACATAACTGTCTCGTATATTGTTCCGAACCGTACAACGTTTCAGCTTCAAAAACGAAGCCTTGTTTTAACAATGGCATTAAATACGCTCCATTCCTATATACAAAATTTTTTATTAAATAATATAAGTCTTATAAAATGAGTTATTTTATTACTTACCTTATAATTCTAGTTAAAATTCTAGATGCTCTTGGGTTTTTCGCGTGTCTAATGTAAGCTGATAACGCTTCAATGGTTGCGGGATCGGCCAACCGATCAATTGGATCATTTGAATGACTTAATCGACTTAGTAATACTAATGTCCACACATTTGCATACTCGCACACATTCGACGATTTAGTTTCCTTTCCTTCGTTCTGAAACTCTTCTGTATCTATAGTTATTGATTTACAACTTTTTAATGACTCAACTTTTGCTTCGGGTTTTAAAAAATTAAGTGTAAGTTATTACTCCCAAGTGTTTTCAAGATGATTTTATAACAATTGTCACAAAGTACATGTATAAACTAATTTACCATCTTCTGTATCCATCATCTCTGCATCACTACAAACTGGACTGTAATTATCCTCGCCACTTTCGTCAGTTTCGATAGAATCATAAAAAGGTAATGGTGGTGTACTAGGAGGTGAAGACGAAACACTAGTAGCACTTCCTGGACTCCAGTCATCTCGATAATAGTCTGAACTAAATCTATAAATAAACAAATTTTTAATTTACGTTTTCTATAATATAGACATAAATTAAATTTTACAAACATACCTTCCTAAATTCGTCTTATTGTATTTTAATTCCGTTTGTTTACTAGGAGGAGAATCATTTTCTCTTTTCTTTGAAACGTTTGTTCTCTCGTTAGATACATCTTCAGTTACCATTTTTTTTAATCTAACAATTAAAACGTCAAGCAAACCATTTTTTACCATTATTGTAATGCTTGGATCATCATAAACAAATTGTGCTAAAGCATGTAATAACATGGGATGATATTTTTCATTCTTAGTATCTTTTAGTAAAGATAACATTAATTCTAAACCTGATGCCATCTTAATTTTCGCACGATTTACAGCTTCTCTACAGAACAAACATAAACTGACTAATGTTTCCTTAGATAATTCCAAACGATCTTTAATAAGGGCAATAAAACTTTCAATAGCACCGAAATTCCCTAAAATGGGACGATATTCTGCAATTTGGCAAAGATTGTACAAACACCTAATTGCCACTTTATTATTCATATCACAGCATTGCACAATACTCTTATAACCCTGTATGTCTTTTTCTCCTCGTAATTGTTCTCCAACTCGTGGATCCAATGTGGCCAAAAAAGTACATATGGCTTTTAAACAGGTTTCTATCAGCTCCATATACTTTTTATCTGATTTTTCTGATTTTTTTTTTGTCGATACTAATATATATGTAATTCTAAATATTACTCTAGACTCTAAGATTTCTTCTCTACTACCTTCATATGTACTCCAAATAATCCTATAAAAAACGTATACAAATTAATTAAAAATACCACTTAGTACAAGGATATTATTTTTTGTTATATATATTTATTTTGTAATACCTTATTGCTCTGATAGCCATTAAGTATGTGTACACATATGTATTTAATTGTAGAAGATTAATCAAAGCTTGAATTGCACCAGCTTCACATAATGATTTTGCATGCCAGTCACATTCAGATAAATTCCCGATTAGTCTGCAGGCACGACAGACTATACTACTACTTAGTTTGATATATTTTACTATAGAAACTACATAACTTGCTATTCTAGAGCCTCTGACCTAGAAAAAGATTTGTGCTGCATTATTATGAATAAGCGAATTCCATAGAAAAAATACTTTGTTTATAAGTATATAACAGATAAATTTTATCAACTGATTTTAAAGATGAAAATAGATATATCTGTACCTTTTCTCTTGCATCTGAATTCATGCAAGCATTCGCTAAAATACTCAGTGTCATGTTTAGTGCTTTTGTATTATGAAAATAACGAAGTAAATTTACTAAAACGTCTAATCCTCCATCTTTGACAAATTGCTTATAGCATCTTGAATCATCTTTAAGTCGTTCTAAACATGACAAAATCCCACCTTTTGACTCCAATTTTATGCATTTTACTAATTCTTGTAATATCGGGCTGTTTTGTCTCTCGTCCATAATAGGTATTTTTATAAATAAGTGGAAAAATTGATGAAAATTCGTTAATTTTCTAAAAGAAACATAACCTCTAAATTGTACAGCCACCGAGATTGACAGCTACACCCGTACAGCAACTTACAAAAATAAGTGAAAAAAGATTCAGTTTAATTAATAATTCTTCGTTATCAAAATATGTTTAAAAAACGATTATACAATATACATAATCATAATTTGATATCTAAATTTACAATTTTGTAAAGATAATTAATTAATTATTTTATAGAATTATTTTTTTAAATGTCCCGCCATTTGATTTTATTTTTGAATACGCACACTATAGCGCTACAATGCTTTCAATGGAGTTAGTAGATATTAGATATATATTATACAGGAAAAGCGAGGAACATAATTGAAGTAATCGTGAAGCATATTAATGATTCGAATAAGGTATTTGACAAGCATAATAATTATTAGTAAATGCTATTAATAACAATTATATATATATTTGAGTATTTATTTATAAGTGTTTTTTATCATCTGTTACTATATATACATGTTATTTTTTAAATTTATTTAATGTTTAATTGATCCCCTCATTTTAGTAATGGAAATATGTTTCAAAATGAATTTAAAGAGTATGTATATTATAATAAATACAATATTATAATTAAAAAAAATCGATGTAATATCAAAAAATTATTTTTGTTATTCATCTACATATGAAATATACTTTAATAGAAATTTTATCAATATTGATTTCAAAATAAACCAAATTTTCGTTGCACTTTTTAAGATGGAATTACTTTCCCCTATATTTTGTAGTTAAATTGCAAAGGTTTATACGAATTTACATTTTTATAAGGAAACGAAATCTAGGTAGATATTTATGTGTCACTCTTTAAATATTATAATGAATACTTTACCCTTTATATTGTGAATATTTTATGCATTATGTGCATTCTTATTGTATTATGCGCGTTTAAATTTCTTATAAATGCATATAAATATACATAAACAGCAATTCTAAATCATTACGTAAAGTTATCGTCATATATCGTTATAATATATCTATTACTTTTTTCCAGTGAATATCTCGAAAATTAAAATTCATCGCTAATGTAATGTTGCAACGGAGCGAAAATTTATTTATACCATCGTAAAAAAGTATAATTTTTATCTGTCAACGAAGAGCAAAATGCATAATTTTAGCTGCGTTTCGTAAGAAATGAATTTCTATTTTGCGTAAGCGCACCGTGAAAAGTATCATCATCCGTGAAGCGCACCTGCTGCGTCTAAGGAAGGGCAGTGTCTGTGAATAAAGTATAGCGGAGGCGTCAAAATGATAGGAGAGGGCATGGGGATCGGACCGTGAGCTACGCAGGAGATGTCGACAAGATGACAGCGGTTGTATGACGCTCGTTTCGTTGATTCTTCGGGTATAGCGTTATAGCGTGTACCGGAAAGGAAAATCGTTCACGAACGAAACGAACGACTTATGCCTCGTTACGGTGACACGTCCGTTTCAATAGAATCTCTGTGTCAAAACGAGATCGTGATCAGGCGTATTCGGGTGAGAGCCACGACCGCCGCCGCGCCCGTGCAATGTACACAGCGGCTTGAATCGTGTCCGAGATCATCACTGTCCCCGAGGAGTCCTCTCTTTAAAGGGCCTGGAGTAGAGTAATGAGCGTTTTCGGGGATTTCCAGCGTGTCTGGGTACAGAGATTCCCGGACAGCGCCTTGCCGGCAGCTTGGGAAGAAGACGTCAGGGCCAACCTAGTCAAGCATAAACAGAAGGTGAGAATCCAGTCAGGAATTCTGTTATTATCTTCTAATTGCAAAAGAATTTTCTTCGATGGAGTTTTCAAATATTTATATTAAGATTTTTCTGTAGATATATTTATTTAAATAAAAATTCGAAATATCAGACACATGGGATATCAAGGGATATGTTTTCTTGCATTTTGAATTAAGTAATTTAACATAGCTGGTTTTATTTTAAAAGCTATAATATATTATTTATGATTTATATATGATTCTAATTCTGTACTATTAATGGAAGTAAGACCAAACAGGAATATTATGTCTTGATATGATTATCTTGATGCCAATTATTTCTTAGAAATAAATAGTGGAAGAGTCAATATATTGAAAACTTTAAATAGGATTTATGTTTTTAAGGGGATTGTTTAATAAATTGTTAGTTCCTTATTACATAAAACTTTCCTCCTTGCTGAGGTATTGGGAGCTTTATTCTATGAGTCATCGTATTAATTTCTTACTTAACTGGGAAATTAAGCTAATTTATATTTAACCATAATTGATATTTTTAATGTGATCTACTATTTATGTTCATTATATTGGTTTCAAATAAATTTAAAAATTTTGTTTACCTTACATATAAAATTTCTCTATATATTATCTATTATTATCTATAAAGGAAATGAAGCCATTAAATATATTTAACTATTTGCTATACTAAGAACATCATTTCTCATTACTAAATTTCCTTATACAATATATTCTCACTGATTAATCACTCGCTATTTACTTCAATTTTGTTATGATCTACTAAGGACAAAAATTTATATTATGTATATTTTATAATGTAGCTACATAAAAAATAGTTAAACAGAATCATTATTATTTTCACAGGTGACTGCTTTGAGAGAAGAACTTGAAAAGGAAGAATTTTATGTGGAATATTTAGAAAGGTTATTGGCTGATGTTGAACGTCATAAGCAATTAGCAAATAGTAATATTACAACTACTCCTGAGAAACAACAATCCACAGAATCACAAAATCAACACAGTTGTTTAGCAACAGAGAATAATTTGGGAGATTCTACAAGCTCATCTAATGTTCAACATGTGGAATCGTTAGCTCCACCTCTTCCAGCGCGTGAAGATATAAGTAAATTTCAGGACAAGTGTGTTTCTGAACTAAGTTCTACTCTTAGTACAAGCAAAAGACCCAAAAGTGAAATACCAAGGAGTCCTGATAAAGTGCCTGAACTTAGAAGAAACAGTGACCCAGATGTGCCAAGTAACTATGTCACTGTAATTGAAGTGACAGGAAGCTCAAAGAAAGATAAAAATGAAGAATCTCTTAAAGAGGAAGATGAAAAAGGTATTATATTTTTTCTATATTATACTTTTATAATTTTATAATTTTAAAATTTTATTTAATAATTTTAATTGTATTCGTTTCATCTATATTAATAATTAAAAATAGATTTAGAAAATGCAGTTAATGAAGATGGAGAGGATGGTGATGCAGAGGCATCAGAGGAGGAACCTTATTATGATTCTGTAGCCTTAGATCAAACAGGAGAATATGTATATATTGATGCACGTGTTCCACCTGTTGGAAACAATAATGGCAGTAGAGCACCACCCAGAAGACCGCCCTCCTTACCTGATTCTCCAGGGAATCAGAGTAATTATGTCAACATTGATTATTTTATACAGTAAGTTATTTGTATCTGAACATTATTGGTTTTAAAATAATTTTACATTAAATATATATATTTACAAATATACATCTGTTTATTTACAGACATCGAGCGGCAATGGATAGTGAGGATGAAGAAGGTGCAAGTCCTGCACCACCAATCTTATTACGTGCTCTTAGCACGGATAACGAAACTGGTAGTAGTGATGCAGAGCCTTTAAGCCTAAGCGAAGGTAGCTTAGAATCTCCAACACCAACTACACCTCGTCGACAGGAGAAAAGTAAAGACCGTGAAGATGATAGAACGTCTATGATTAAATGCATCGTAAACTCGGTGGTAGAAAGTGAAACTATATATGTCGAATGTCTAAATGTAATGTTACAAGTATGTAATATATCTATCATTTTTCATAATATGCATAAATAACATTACTTTGATTAAAAAAGTATATGTTGTTTGTAGTACATGAAAGCCATCAGGGCAACATTAACAACATCGCAACCTGTTATTTCTGAAGATGAATTTGGTACGATGTTTTATAAAATTCCTGAATTACATGCACTACATCAAACATTTTTGGATGGTCTTAGAAAGAAACTAGACAAATGGGACAGTAAAACTACTATAGGTGAACAATTTAAAGTAAGAACTAAATATATTAATATATAAATATTGAGAAATTCACACATCCTGCCCTCTTATTAATATTCCATTATGGATTACAAATTAAGGTAATGGCCAGCAATATAGGATTATATGGAGCTTTTTTACATAATTACGCTCGCGCTACTGATACTGTACGGAGGTGTTCTGCACATTCGACTCAATTTGGTGAAATTACAAGAGATATAAGACTCAGAGGAGTTCCAAAAGGACCAGGTTTATCTCTTGAAGATCTTTTACATAAGCCAGTAGCGCGAGTACAAAAAAATGCGCTAGTGTTGCATGTAAGTATTGTATAGTTTATACTTTTGTTATATTAACCAAAGCTATATAGGTATAGATATACATCACAGATAAAACATTGATTGGATAAGTTGATAAAATGATGTGGAAATGTACTTCGTAAACGTTATCTTATCTCAATTCGCATTGATAATTGTGTCTTAACTGATTGTAGGATCTCCTTAAGCACACACCAGTGAATCATGCAGATCATGCGCCACTTTCAGAGGCTCTTGGTATGACTAGAAATTTCCTAGACGAATTTAATATTATTCAGACGAAGTCAATGTTTCCGGTAAATAAATTATATTTATAGCTACAATAATAATTAATTTAGTATTTTGTAAAACTATATTATTTTTAGAGTCATGATAGAGCACAACGGAGATTAGTAAAAAACTCGTTTGTGGTAGAACTGTCTGATGGTCATAGAAAGTTGAGACATCTTTTTCTTTTTAATGATGTAATTGCTTGTGCAAAGTATAAAGCTTCTGGCAGAGACAAATTTACATTTGAGTTGAAGTGGTATGTACCAGTGGCAGAGGCGGTAGTGACAGAAGATGGCATTGAACCTCGTGAGACTAGTCCAGCTAATGTTGTAGCTTTGAGGTACATATAAAAGTCTATCATTTACTCCTAATAATAATTTATATGTATAATAATAATAATTTATACACATTCAGATCACAAGCATGTACAGTACGTGATCAGATACTATGGGAAGAACGGAATGATGAAAAACGAATTAGACTCGGTGGTAGAGGTTCAGAAAAAAATAGGAAGAAACTTGCTGAGCTTGAAGCTCAATTAGTATTAGCATCCCCAAATTTAGTATTACGCGTTGCGCACAAAAGTCAACATCGAGTACAAAACTCGTACACATTCTTTCTATCCAGTGAATTTGAACGCTCTCAATGGGTTGAAGCGGTGGAGGCATTGCAACAGGTAATGCGTTCCCATATGTACCTAGATAAGTCAAAGGTGCGTAATTCACAGATTTCGAATAAATAAATAAGATAAAGATATGTAATAATGCACTTTATTTAAATTCAACACGAGGATGCAAGTAAAGATATTAGAAAAAAAATGATCATACTAATCTAATGAGAGAGAAATGAATGGCAAATGATCATTTTTTAGGGTGGACAACCTCCAGGACCATTACCTTTATCAATGTACGAATTACAGGCTTGGGTTACAGCTTGTCGTACTTACCTTCAAACAGATATGGGAAGTTATTTACTTAGATCAGGACGCGATGAAAGTTTATTATTAGGCGATCTTCATTTAACTTTACTTGGCTTGACACCACCTGGTTTAGATAGAGTAGGGGATCTTTATATTATTGTGGAAGTTGATAGTTATGGACACTATTTTAAACGTGCAAGAAGTCGAGTTGCGAGAGGCCAAGCTCCAACTTGGGGTAAAATTTTATTTTTATAAAACTTCGAAAGTTGAATAAATAAGTTTTTTTTAATTAATTACTTAATTTTCACTTATTTAAGGCGAAACATTCGTTGTGGAACTAGAGGGAAGTCAAAATGTTAGAATTTTGTTGTATGAAGAATGTGGAACGCGTTCTGTATTACGTGGCAAATGCATACAAAGATTAAGTAGATCTTGGCTTCAATCAGATCAAGTAGAAAGGTCATTAAATTTAGGCCCAGCTACATTAGATGTAGCTCTTCGTTTTGTCCCAAGTGAAGTGACATTAAGGCGGGTACCATCTGCTAAACCTCAAGGTTTATTTGGAGCTAAAATTCAACAAGTGTGCAAGTATGTTTTATGACTTTTGAACTACGAACTATGAACTCTTATTTAAATCTTTTGATTATATATTTTTATTAAAAATTTTTTCATCTGTATTAAATATAATTACATGTTTTTTATAGACGTGAAAAACGCGATGTTCCTTTTATTATAACCGCATGCGTTAGAGAAGTAGAAAGGAGAGGAGTCGGAGAAGTGGGATTATATCGCGTTTCTGGTTCAGCTTCTGATTTAACAAAATTACGCAAATCATTTGAAAGTAATTCGTACGAAGCAGAACAACTGCTTAAAGAGGTAGCCAATACATTACACAAAAGAATAAAATCCTTTCTTTTTAAAATACCTCATTATTCAAAGAGTTGTGTATTAATATGAATTTATTTTTATATTTTTAGGTTGACGTTCACTCTGTAACAGGTGTGCTCAAATTGTATCTCCGTGAAATGCCGGAAGCTCTCTTTACGGATGCTCTGTATCCCGCGTTTTTAGAAGCTTTCCAAACTGGCGAGTTATCAAAAGGTGCTGCTCTCAGAAGAGTATACGAAAGTCTACCAGCCGTGAATAAGGCAGTTATCGACTTTCTACTTACTCATTTGATACGAGTTAATAAACACGAGGCCCAAAATAAAATGTCTTTGCACAACCTAGCGACAGTATTCGGACCGACGCTTCTGCGTCCTGGTACGAATTCGCGATCTGATGCAAAAAGTCGAGATCCATTAGCTGCAGGGACCGTGGACGTGATGGCACAGGCCGGTATACTTTATTGTTTCTTGCAAATGCATATGCAACAGAACAATCAGTCACTCTAGTCGAGAGGTTCTTGTTGATACATCGTAGCGTCAGCTGCTTTTCGCGAGTCTCATTGGAAATTAGGCTCGCAGCAACTCACGTTGTAATGTAAAATTAACGATTTTTTATAATATATATTTTATTAGTTTTGTGACGTATCGTTTACACAACGCTGAATTAGACGCATAAGTAGATAGGCTTTGACAAAATCCTGAACGATGAAATTCCTCTTGTATTGGTATGCATACGAATAATGTAGCAAAGTGGACTTAAAGAACACTTATTGTACTTTAAGCTCCTTAATATATATTTTATACTTATATACCCGCGAAGTCTTAGCCACGATCTCTTGTTATGTGATGATTCCACGTAAAACATTTTTCCAAAAAAGAAAGCTATGTTGAAGAAAAAATTCTTCCCGTGAAGTAGAATGAGAGAGTGAGAGAGAAAGAAACATAAATATGGAATTCCGGTCGTTAACGCATCCACGCTTTAGAAAGTAAGTATTTTTTCCAATGGAGCGTGTTCCTAGCAGAGAATCTAAATTTTTTTACGCATATGTCCACAAAAATGTCCACGTATTCAAAACAATCACGTTCCTAAATGTTTCAGGAAGCACGTTTCTCGAGATGTGCAAATCAAAGCTTCTAATAGTATATGCAAAATATGCTGGCTATATTCCATTTTGTCACTTGATATTTATGTTTTCTAGGAAAGCCACATTTTTCTGCCGATTCTATTCTTTATAAGAATATCTTTAAAGAATTCTGCGTTCTCGAATTTTTGTAAGAAATATCGCGAAATGACTTAAATTCAAGTTTCTAACATTTAAGCTGTGGTTAGACTCGTGTTTGTTCTTTTATTCAAGTTGCTTAAGTTTGTAATAATAACTGTAATAACTTCGATATTTTAACGATCTATTTACAAAATTAAAAAGGAATACTGTTTTTAAAAGGAAATTCTTTCAACCCTTGGATAAATTAAACATAAATATTTTGTATATGCAATTTTAAAGTATTATATTTTATTATTATATACACATTTATATATTACATATATATATGTGTGTGTGTGTATACATTCCTTTGCAATATTGTCAGTAAGATATACAAATCATTTTAATCAGTTTCTGTTAGCAACCATTTTTTAAATTTCTTTTCTAAATCAATGTTTTCAAGTCTAAGTACAGCTTAATTAAGTACCAAAGAGAAAAATTCTCTCCCATACCTTCAATAGAGAACTATGGTTAACCCTTTGAAGTATATCAGATTAAAACAAACCATTTTACAAATTTTAAACAAAATTTTTTCACTTTTTATCTACTAAGTAGATAATGGTATTTTTTTACTATTATATAATGCAGCTAATCAAGTCTATATCTTCATGTTCACTAGATTTTTAAAAGAATTGTGCTTTACTAAAAAGGAAGAAGATACCATTTTTGGAAATATATACTTCAAAGGATTAAAACACACAGAAGTGCATTTGGCAGTACAAATTTAATACTCGATAGAATTCTGTGTTACATGCTAGGATGTTTGTGAACAACTTCTAATCGAAGTTGAAAGATTAAAAAATGTAACGAGAGCTCGATCAAAAGATCGTACATAAGGGTCGAATGAAACAAGAGAAAAGAAACGAAGAAACAAAAGAAAAAATTGAAAGAAAACAGAAATTAAAAAAGAACACATTACGTTATTTTTCCGGAAGTGATCTTTGCGCTTGACGAGCGAACAAGGCAACTATTGTGTGCGTGATTTCAGCGTGTACGTGCGTGTGTATGTATGTATGTATAACCCGCCCATGTGTATTATATCGTAAATAATTGGATATCTTTAATTTTTATATCACATTTAACGTTAAGACGCGTCCCTCTTTTGTACATTCGTAAAATGTGTAAAGACAAAGTTTCAGCTATCACGATTTATTATTATTATTATTATTATTATTATTATTATAACTATGATTATTTTTATTATTTCATATTTTACAAATACCAATTTCTCATAGAACAAGTATTTGTTAACGAATGTTCGATTAAGCTAGCTTATTCGCAGCAAGACAATGTACTGCCAAAAAGGAACCCTTAAGATGCATAAATATACTGGAAGTTTATAAACTTTTATATATCGATAATATGTTTACCGTTTTCCCAGGGTACGCTTTTTAATAGTATTTTAGTTTCTTTCTTTTTTTGGCTTACACAAATACTACATTAAATTTAAACACCTTGTAGTGTAATCCGAATTGTTTTTCTTTCATTCTCTTCTTTTTTTTTTCTTTTGAAAAACTATATTCTTTTAAAATTATGTAATTAAATGAAACAATCTTAAAAGAATATAGATAAAGCGAAAGAGCTGTTAAATAATGTGAGTAAAGAAGTATTTTATTTGTAAAATATTTTATGCGTAAGCTGATAAGTTATACGTTTATGGAAACCATTGTAAATCCACATGAATTATAATTATACTTTATTTCGTTTATGTTTCACTAATGTTCAGACTTGTGTATAATCCGTAGACATGAATTTTGATTTCGTTAATATTTTCGAAAATAGATAACAGTATGTAACAGAAAAAGAATTTTATATAGAATTTATTATTTCTTGTCTTAACGACGAGTGTGGACAATTTCGAGCTGGTGGAGGTAAGGGTAGTTTGACCGGTGTGGCTGGTATGTTGTCCCATAATCCAGGAAGTCGAGATCCATCAGAGCCATTGCATTGCATTCCTGATCAAATATAGATTAAAATTTCCAATTGAAATATCAAAATCAAACTTCAGATGCTTAATACATTAATAAATTAAATAATTAAGAACCTAATGGTGCAGCTTCATATAGATCATGTAAAGCTTGTACACGAACTTTGGTCCATTCTATACTTTCATAATTTGCAGAAATTCCATTATCGACACTAGTTGGTTGATTCTCCCATTCCCTCATATACCGGAAATAAGTTCTCAGTGCATCGTCGCTAATAGCACTTTTGCAAACCTAAAACAGATTGAATATTTCTTATAATTCTTCTTATAATTTTATAATTTTTTATAAAAGAATATTAATATTTCATACCTCTAATCGAGCATTAGGATAATAGTGAATATAATTCACACACATCTCATCGGAAATGGCGAATCCACCAAGAGTAATATTTTCCCTATCCATCGTATTATATGTGCAAGTTGTTATTAACGAATCTCCCTATCATTAATTTACGTTAAAATCTATTATATGTACATAATATAATGGAGTACACGTGAAATATATAAAGTATTAGATTTTAATTCTTACAGGCAAAATGGTAACAGGTTTCGGTAAAAGACGAATTTCTTGGAAATGAGTGGAATAATGATTGTCATAATTTAACAGAGGCAGCTCCTCTCCATCTCTAATATGACGAGTAACAACTTTTACGCCTGTTAAATGTGTATGAAGTTGGGATGCGAAAATATGTATTCCTTGTTGTGGGAGACCAACACCTGTACATTCTTGTATACAATGTCCTGATAAAATAAAGGCTTCCTACAAAAATTTTGTTATTAATTCCGATTTTAGTAACATATATTATAATATATATCTGTGCATATATCTTCGATTAATTATATGTGCAATGATTCATTACTTGTCGTGGGGGAATTGCCATTTTATCAGTATATTCTAAACCCAGTTCAATTACACCGGCGTCATATTTGCGAAGACTCCTAGTAACGATAAAACGAATTCCTGAAGAATCGACGTTCCCATCCTGAAGTTCGGGATTATTATAGTGAACTTCCAACATGACATAAGGATTAAAATTTTGGCCACCGATCAAAAGACCAGCTTCTTCTGGATAAACGAAAGCATCTGCTCCCATTGCCCAAGCTGCCAAGACTTTTTTACATACCTAAGAGACGGAGTAAAAAATAAAATGATTCTAGAAAACATATTTAATTATTTTTTAAAGGCATAAATGAAGAAATCTGTCTAAGAAACTTAACGCACTTGAGTTTTTTCCGGTCTATCAGCTCCATCACAAGGACCATCGTACATAGGAATTTCAAGAGCCACTGGTCCAGCACAATGGAAAACTTCCATATGATGAACCAAGTGTTCGTTACCCGTTTGTATGACTGGGCCAAACTGCAGAATGTGATGTCTAGAAATAATAGTTCGGAAAAAGATTAATTCTGGCGAATTTTGTTGCAGTCTAATAGACTCACTTTTGAGACAAAACGGGTGGTAATTTTTGTATGCGACACCAATAAGTCGTTTCCTTATTTGGCACTTTTACATGATCAGCCAACATTTCCAATTGCCAGGCATTCGATGGAAATGTTGGTTTCTTATGGAGTACCCTGATCAATTCTGTTCTGGACATGCCAGAAGCTTCTGCATCTGATACTTGTAAACCAGCCAAGGACGACAGTGGTCCCAAACCTTCTAACCATACTAAGTGCGTGGTACCTCTCTACGAATTTTTAAATATTTTTTTATGTCAAAGAAAAATAATCAAATGACTAATATCTCTTATTAATTTCATAGTTAGTTTACCTCCATGATGTAATCATTTTCATCGCAAGTATCGAACTTCCTGGTGAAGGTAAACTTCGTGACGTTTCCTCTTCTTCTCCACGCAAAGTTCTCACAATCCTGTTGCAGGTCGAGATTTAATTTTCCTTCTTCATCTGCCCACGCATCCTGAAATTACAATATAATGTAATTGATATAAAAATTATAAAATCGATAAAAATGGACTTATCATGTTTTCTCGTGTAATTGTTAAATGTATTTCATGATTACCTGTAACTGAATTTGTCGGTGCCAATCAATCCACAGAACGCAATAATCGGCAGGTTTTAATTCACCATAATTCGAGAAACCGATGGCAAACCAAGTATTGTCGACACCTATATAGTGGACTTCCGCAATTATCATTTCGCTCATAAAATCAACCCTAAAAAAATTATTCTTCAATTTTTTAATTATTCCTCGGTGTATCTGTTAACATTAAATTCAATTAATATTATAAAAATATACCTCCAATGAAAAGTGGCTCCTGAACCAAGCGGAACTGTATGAACATTGATCCTGTTCGAACTGTCTTCGCTATTCTGATGATAATCATGCCAGGATAAACACGATACATCTTTTAAAATTGTAAACAAGATTAGTAAATAAATTTTCGAAAGCATCTTAGATTTTAAAATCAGTGGATTTTCTACTTGAAAAATCACTCGTTTCTGATTTATAATTTATTAGATGTTATATATCTTTTACTCAATTTTGAACTAGCTTCACAGATATTTCCATGATCCTTTACCTTCCTATCGTCAATTTCTACTAACAGGTTCCAAATGATCCGAAAAGATGAAGACTTCGTATAACACTGGTTTGCCGCCGATTCTCTGCGGCGCACATGCGCGATGATACTACATCGTAATATGTACACACACAATCATTTCATTTATTAAAAAAAAGGTAAATAAAGAAACACTTAGTAATTTTTAGCTCGTAAAAAGTGTAAGGAAAATTAAAAAAGTGCGTACTCGAATGTTTAAATTCTTTTAATGTCATGAAATTTATATATACTAAGTTTGTAATAGATACGCATGCGCATATGTGAATACTACTTCGAAATTGTGCTTGTGAGTTAGAAGAACTGCAACAAAAATGTAAGTAGTAATTACTGAAGAAAATTATACAGATAAAGATATATAAAAATATTAATTTAGTTTAACCTTGTATATGTTGCATACTAACGTTTAAAATATAATAAATAGAAAAAATATATAAGTTCAAATCTACGATGAAGAGATATCTATTGTTAAAACAAATTTTAAATGACATCATAATATTAATTTCTAATGTTTTTAATAGCACAGTTTTCTTATTCAAGCAATCTATATTTTTCTGCCTACATCCATCTTCTCCTGGCTTCGTTATCTCCATTTACTCGAAAGTAGATTATACAGGTTATCAATTTCCAATAAACTGAAAATCACTCTACTCGAGGTCAAGTTCGACTAATTCCGATTTTTCCTTAATAAAATCCATGGAAATAAGATATACTCCACATCGAAATAGATATCAAACTTCATTATAACATAAGAAGTGTTATGTCTACTATTGATTACACATATCTTCTTGTTCTATTTTATACCATTTTTCTCCGTAGGTAAAGAAGTTGTGGATTGCCAAATTAACTCATTAAGGACCAGGAAACAGTTTATCATAATGTTATAAATACGTTAATTGCTTTACAGTTTATGAAACTATAAAGTTTAAAGAAAAGATACCAAAAGAAAGAAAGATATTAAACAAAAGTTGAATTTTATAACCACAATGTTAAAATACAGGATTTGAAAATATAAAATGTTAAAAAAAATTGCAATTAAATGTTACTTTAACGCAACGTCGACTCTTTATGAGTTAACATATTCACACTAGATAGATAACGTTCATAGGCGAAAAGAAAAAAGATGCCAGAACATCGAGGAAATATCTTGATAATAATCGAATGCCAGAGGGTGTATATTACATTCCAGTCATGGCGCGTGCTTTTCCTTCCAGCTGCAATCAAGAAATTCCGCGGCTCTTATTGCGAGAACAATTTTCGCGAAAGGCTTTATTTGATGCGAATAAATAGCTTAGGTCACGTGACACTAGTGTCGAAATTGATTTTCAATATGACTTATTTTTTAGGACACTGCTGCGTTTCGCTATCTTTCCTTTCTATTATTGAATTATCTAGCTGCAAAATTAACTACCGAAATTTTCGGAATATGAAAAGATAATTAGAAAATTTATTTATTTTTACGTTAGATTGTTTTATTCTTAGCCTATAACGATATAATAATATTTATACATCTCCCTGACATTATTTTTTGTATAGTTTCAGGTATATGATATTATAAGCTATGTGATTTTTCAGATATATAATTTTATAAGCTATGAACTAAGTATTTTTTATAAATTCTACCAGTGACAAATGTAAAATAATTGAACATAATAATTCTTAATAATTTTATTGGGCACAATTTCTTACAATTTTATTTATTTATGCAATAATCTCCTTTAATTTCATTATAGTTATCAAATATAAATGTTACTAGAAAGTACTGTCTTCCTAAATAATACTTGTATAAATGCTCCCTGCACTTTTTCTTAGAACCAGCAATAGTGTCTGTTGAAGCAACAGCAAGTCATTGTGCAGTAGTCATTAGATCAATGAATGCCTTAAATCCTTTCTTGGCTAACGGTCCGGTTGCTTTCATGAATTCACAAACATACCTGTCGGCGCATCAAATAACCCGATCTTGCCGAGGACCTTAACTTCTGGATAGCCTGTGCCAACGTAAACTGCAATTAAATGCATTGTCCGTAAAGTAAAGTAAAAGCTGTAAATTTTCCATATTTAACAAATCTTATTTTTCCATTTCATTTCATTTCGTTTTGATTCATTAGTTAGATCGTTTTTTCATCAGAAATGTCTTATTATATTAGATATATTATATATTTTATATAGCGGAAAGCATTGACTGAAAAATATGTAATAAATTTTACGAACTAAAGGAGGTTAAGTTAAGAAAGGTTACCTCATACGCCGGTAGTAACTATACATCTTATTGAATGTGTCAGACGTGTAAAATTAGGAAGAACTCCTTGTTGAGAAATACTGTTGTATACGCAGATAATCTATTTTCAGAAATGTAGAATATATTCAGGATTATCTCAGTTTCCGTCAACCACTGATGGCAATCTTGTGAAAGAATAGTACCGAATTGTGAAATATTGGTTCGAATATTATAAATAATTCGTATAAAATTTCGACGAAGGATTACCAAAATATCTTTATTCCTATATTTTTCTTCGAATTTCCATTAATTCTCGTTTCTTAGATCGTTTAAAATTGACAAAAATGGTATTTTCAGATTTTTCAAAAAGCGATGCGAACAAGTCAACGAGATTGGGTTGAATTGTAATTGAAAATTTTTATCGCTTCAACTAGTTAAAGGCGTTCATAATCTTATATTACGTAATTGTTTTATTGAAATGACAGCGATAGTTTTCATAAACGCCTCCAGAGCACTTAGTACAATTTCGGACTCATTGAAAATTGCGTATCTTATCTTATTATTGCATTTCAAAAAATACCGTGTTTTCTAGAAGTTTACGATGGAACTTTTGAACGTAGATATACTACTTAAATAGAGACAAGAAGAAGGAAAAGAATCATTTGAGCAACTAATATTGAAAAATAAAGCCATAGTAAAATTTGTTTAGTTATACAGTAGCAGATAAAGCGATAATTATAAGTAAATTTGCAACAGTGATGAAAGTTCAAACGTGGGAGTATAAAATTCCTCAAGTGGAAGGTCGAATATGGTCACTGAATGATGAAAAGTTGACGAATGCTTGCGCGTACAATGATGGACAGATCAAATGTCTCGAATATTCCTTCGTATCTCAAAAGCATTATTATTTTTAGTACTTTTAGTATTTATCTGCATGATTCACGTAACACGATATATGAAATTTTTGACTCACGATATTATTAAGAAAATTTATTAAATTCCTTGTCGAAATAACAAGCATAAAATAATTCACACGAAAAGAGAAAAAAATGATAAACTATGGGAAGCTTGAAAATAATAACAATTGCGATACAAGAATCTTACGTCACCGGAAAATGTCGATCTTACACGGAACTCATTATAAGAAAAACTGTTGTTCGCAAGTGCTGCATACATATAATCTTTATTATTGAACAACGGGGCTTATTGTTACAATGTTAGAACGTTTCGTTCTGGATTCTGTTTCTATGACAGCAAACACGTTGCAAAGGATTAGCATCATTTGTTGTGTAATCCAGTTAAACAGAGTGCATCTATGCCTTTATTCGGTCAGTCACAGTTGCGAGATGACTAAAATTTTCAATTACATCCAATTAAAACTCATTAAGTTTCAACAGTGATGACTGTCTTGCTAAAGAGCTGTGTATTAGTCAACTGCTATATAGTTCTCGGTACAGTATAGATACGAATTATTTCATAAGTATTTATAATTATATCGACTTTTAAGCATTTTATTTTGAGATGTTTAAATAAAAACAATTTCATTTATTTTTTAGAGATTATTGGACACTTTATCAATTTTGGAACTACTACTTGAAAGGGAATATATATGTATTACAATCACAAAGTATTTGAAAAACTTACATAAACTTACAAAACTGATGTCCTGATAAAGTATTGGTAAATTTTCATGCTGTATAAACTAAATAGCTTGCAAACATATTTTTATTCTCATCGTTGATGTAATATACTAAATTCTCAGAACTCTCTCAAAGACATAACTCTATTTATTTTGTATGTATACATTAGCATTTTATACATCTTATCTTTCCAATCGCAAAAACATTGATAACTTGATAAAATCGGTAGGACTGCAATATATTCATGTATTATTCCAAAATAGTTCCAAAGTATATAATTAAAAGCAATATAATTAATTATGTAATATTTGATTTTAGCATTCACATATGTTAATACAATTAAATAAAAATATAAATATAAAATATAAAAAGTTTGTTAATACAGATATCTAGAATCTAAATGTATCTAAAATCTTATATAATATTAAAATATCTTAAATTTTACACCAATCATTTTGCTTAGGAATGACGCAAATTTACGGAAACTTGAAAATGATAAAGCGAATTGATAACGGGGCGTATCAATGCAAGTGCAGGGTGCCACGACAACGTGATCCAGCAGTGGCAACGACATAGCAAAGGCCGTCGACGCCGGTTGGCTTGTGGAAGGTAGAAAGGGAATATGCAACTTATAGTACTCGAAATTCTGGTCGGCGGGTTGCCGCGTCAGTCGAGAAGCAGCGTATGCTCGCGCTTGGACTTCAGTGTCGGAGCAACTGGTCCACGTCGTAAAGTCGCGGCAAAAAAACACGCCAAAGGAATGTAATCTCCGTACGAATGACTGATTTTCTACCCGTGTTCGACGCGCTTCAATTCAGAATCTATTCTATTACTCTTGGTAAGTGATTGAACGAAGAATTCATACGAGGAAAAAAAGACATGCACGAGAGCGTGTATGGCTCAGGCGCGCACACTGAATAGAAATATTCCGAGACGGTCGATTGATAGATCGTTTGCGATTCATAGAAGTATTCCTGTTTCTCAATATTATTATATTTTCTCACGTGAAGTTTTTCTATAAAGAATATTGATTTTTATACTTGTTCCCTTCTTGGAACTTTTGAGTTTTAATTTTCTGGAGTGAAATACACAGCTGCCGCGACGGTAGTCTGTTCACGTGGTTGCATGTAACTTGTTTGCCGCGCTCTCATGTCGTGTGGAATCGCCTATGAGATTCGTACATTGCAAGTTCTTTGAAGTGAAAATCAGAGTTTATTTCTCGTTTAGCAAAGGAGTTTCTTAGATTTTTGGATTTTATTTTTGTATTCATATTATTTGGAACAGATTTATTAGCTCTGCTTTTTAGTGAAAGTGTAAATCGTTTATTAGCATAATGTACGATATCTCTTAAAAATTAAATATGAATTTAAATATAAAAATTTACCAATTTACCTACAAATATTTGTCAGAGTTCTTATCTTGCATGCTATATTGCTTCCTGTTTGAGGCTTTAGAATGAGAGGTACAGCTGTTGTTCGTGTCATGGTAACTTATATGTATATCGTGGTTTCATTGCAAATTCTTTAAATAAGAGTAAATTAGTACGTTCTATTCGTGTGAAATATAGTGACTTCAAATTGGTGTAAACATCATTTACTTTATTATTCATACATAATTCATACATACTTATATTATTCATATTCATTGACTCTAAAATGAATTTAAAAGAAGTAATGTAGAATAATGAATGTAGTAATAATGTAGAATAATATAATATATTATATTATTCTTCATGTAGTATATGTTTATTCAGGTCGTTCGATAATTGCAAGTTAGAATCCCACGTCAAAGTGTGCAACGATGACTCAGATTAATAATTGGCGAATGATAAGGAGGTCGAAGAAATCGTGACTCTATACAATACATTGATTTGATTCGAATTGGCAGTGTATCTATTTCATGCGCTGTATTTCCGGCTAAATTTACTTAATTCAATATATAGATTTGCAATAATATTCAGAACCTTACACCTTTGTCACAAAGTTAGAAACTAAATATTTTTCTAAATTCCTATACAAATTTTACCACCATTCTTTACATTAATTATTCTTTGTAATTAGCCAGAAGATCTGACAAGAATATTTAATACATAGTTATATTCATTCTTTACTTAATACCAATGTAATTCTACCACAACGTTTACGGACCACATATTTTTTTCCATCTTGAAGAACGTCATTACTTCACATAATTATGATTATGAGATACAAAGACGCCATTCACACGTGGAAACATGAATTGTAATGATTTATAACATCGTGTACCAGAGTGACTAAATTTAAATATATAAGCGCGTAGGTATTTGTACTTGCCAATCGCTAATTAAAATCGTTAAGTTTGACGTACCACGTTTATCCATTTTAAATATTTTCGATCGACAGGAAAGATTGTAAATTATTATAGATTATGCATTCACTGGAAGTTAAGCGTATGTGGAGTATGCTAATAGATTTTTCCGATTGGCACACCCAATTCTATGGAAAAACTTTATTTGCCCTTCAATTATGATACAAGATTTATGATTGGAAAATAACTATTATAGAGATAGGAGGATGTATAGGTAGTATAAAAAAAAGCTTATTGTGCTTTTCGAATCGTCACAGGACTGCTTTATTATATTTTTATTAAAGTTTCCATTGATATTTTAGCATATTGATAATTCTAATTTACATCAGGATTAGTAGATGTTCAAATTTTCTATATAATATATATCAAAATGTCCTTTGATGCAAAAGTACACTAGTAATTATTATGTATTTGGTTTATTTTAATCTTCTAGTGAAGTATACTATTTTTAGTAAGGATCTCGTCGTAAAGAGTCGTTAAAGAAAATGTGATTATTATTATCTTTTATCATTTTTTTATCTGGAATAAACATGAGTAATTTCTTGTAATTTAATATCATATTATATAGAAATATTGTTATGCGTTCTTGGACATGTCTCAGAATTGAAAAAATAAATATAAGAGAACAATTTTTATCGCCGTCTTTTTATCGTTAATAGCAGTTGTTAAATTGAATATATGAAAATATAAAGATATTGCAGAAAGATTGTTCTGATCATATGTATCTCTTTGATAATACAGTCAAAAATAATTTTTATTAAAGAAGGTCCCAAATATTTCGTTTCTATAATACAGTAGATGTAATTCTTTAAATAACAAAGTAATTTAAAACGATTTTCCTTCCAAATTTTTATTATATTTACTTAAAACATAATATCTTTTTTCCATAGTCACATTTTGTAAAAGAAAATGTTCTTTTAGCAGTTGCATTGCAAGCAAGAAATCTCTCGAAGTTAGTGTTCATCCAATTTATGAGCTTCTACAGAGTCTTGAATGATGATAAATTTATTTACATTTTGCTATAAGAATACGTCAATTGTAAAGATAATACGTCGCAGAAAACAATTCAACATATAGTTATCGGATGCAAGTGAACTCTGACAGCAACGAGAAAATTCATATTGGCTCAGTTCCCGAGATTCATCTATAAACGATGATACTATCATTAACGAGTAGAACATTAATAATTACAGAAAAAAGTCAATAAAATTTACAATGAATTAAGAAAAGAAGCTATTTTTTAGAAGAAGAAGATCGTAACTCCGTTTGAAGAATAGTTTTAGAGTTTTGCAATTGAATTATAATAATCCTCTTCGTCGTACTTGCCAATATTTTTGCAGTGTTATTAAATGTTGGTACGAATTTATTTTTACACAATATGCATGTATATCTTTCATTAAAAGTTAATATTTAAAAGCAACAGTGTGTGTAATACATAACTATTGTATCTAAATCTTCAAATTTGCTATCTTCAGATTTAAATGAAAACAAATTTTTACTCTATATATACAATGTGTTGTTTGTTGTGCTCTTTCTTGTGATCATTAATAGGATATAGAAGCTTCTAACAACATTTATCTAAAATGTTTTCGTGTTACTTCAATTTATACTTATCGTTTTAATTATATATATTATGACATAGATATTTGTCTAAATCTAACGCTATGCTTAATGGCAAATTTATCCGTTAACCTTTACAGATAAGTGTTTTACAATTACGTAACAAGTTACTATCTATAAGCATAGTTGGCCGAATGAACGATAATTAAAGGAACTAAACACATCTAATTGCAAATATCAACGCAAAATCCTTGAAATGCTGTGAACGAACCTAGACCTTAACCTTCATCGGCAATTTCCAAGTTTCTAAGATCATTCGCTAGTCTTTTATGGCCTGAAGAGATATCTGTATAAAAACAGCGCTGTCAATACCAAATTGTATTATATTTTGCCATAAAAGTATTCATAATACAACATGATAATATAATAATTATCAATCAATAAAATAACCTTGATCTTCATTTTTTTTTGTTTTTTTTTTTAGAAAGTCATATCAGTGTTTTTGTTAGCGTTGAGGGGAAAGTCAGAAGCTAATAGAAAACTGCGTAATATTATCTTCTCTTAAATTTACAAAAATGCCAGTACTATATCCTCGATATATATATGTAGTATTGAGGAAAAACCCTGGAGCAAATCGTGATGTACTACAGGTAAAAAACAATAAAAGTGTTGACAGGCCAGGGAAAGATGGGCCGTATACCCGTGGCCTTTTACGACACGGGATAATTAAAAAAGCTATGCTTGACCATGGATCATCCACATCTGCATGCTAGGAGTACCAAAACCGTGGTATAAAAGGTAGCCGTTAGTTGCGACTAGAGTTGTACTAAGAGTTGTAGCCAGAGTTGTGAATCATTAATTTAAGTTGTCTTAGTTCAGTCACATTACTGCATTAAGTTCACATTAAATAACCATTGTTTCCTG